ACTAGAAGTTCAACCCATTCCAAAAATTTAGCATGGTCTATTCCCATGTTTATTAAAACCTCATCTGAACGATTAATATCCATTCGGGATAATTCTTTGCACAGGCCACGAGAAATACTGGAAAAAACAGAAAGGTGAAGCCGAACAGATTCCAGAGAAGGAAGTGGATCACACGAATGAACCTGTTTGGTAATTGCTGCATCTTTTCGTTTGGGGGGAATGTTTTTCATTTCACTGAGGGCAGCTTTCATGTTAGATTTAGAATCCTCTAGTAAATGAGATAGCATTTCAATAGTAATGGAATGACCAGCTTCCTTTGGATCATCCGTTTTGTTAGTAATCGAAGAAAGCCACCAAGGGGCCAAGGTGGATGAAAACTCTCTATAGATTGTTGACATGTCAATTCCACGGGAGACGCTGGCCGGATCAACGCACCATCCGACGAGAATATCTGCTAACTCAGGGAATTTTTCTGCAAATATACGAAGCGTTTGGGGGCCTGCATCAATGAATCTTCTACCAAGAACGCCAATGAGTAAACAAAAGCCAGTAACGTTGCTGGGTTGGTTGAGAGATTCGGCTAATCTAAGGACATTCGCCATTATATTTTGGGCATGAGGAGCCAGAGCTGACCAACAAGAAGCCGAGGCATCGTTTACTGCATGCAGAAAGTTTTCCTTAGTTTCCACGGAATATTTACCACATTTGTTTTCAGATAGGGATAAATCAAGATCAGTAAGAAGACGACAGATGTGAGACATAATGCCTGATCTGAATTGAAAATTTGATTTCATTACAAGTTTTCTGAATAATCTAGATATGTATTCCGCGTATTGACCACAGGAATTGTCCGCGTTTATAGTCTCAGATGAATTATTTGGAAGGATCTTTACTTCCGGGCAAATAGCAAGACGTCCAGCCAATTGGGAAAGGTGCGAACTCAAGTCACGTGAACACCTGCTTTCGCATAGACAAGCTTCGATGAGCCGAAGGAAAGAATCAATTTCAGATAACATAATTCCAGCATTCATAAGCTTGCAGTTAAAGGGGATAAGTTTGAGTATCTCCTGGATAGAATTTATCCTTTCAGCAGAACTGAGTTCTGTTTTTACTACTCTTTTAAACAAAGCAAAAAATTCATTAACTTTAGCCCCTGGGTGGGTCCGAACAAGTCTATTCATAAATTCCCGTTTTCTTCTAGAAAGTTCTAGATCGTAAGAAGTGGAGAGCTGCTGAACTTGATGATAGGCGGGCAGATGATCAGGAGTGAGCGAGCTGGGATCTAGATAGATGGTTTGGTCAAAATTTGAAACAAGTTCGCCAGAATTCTCATTATAAGCATCCGGTCGTAAACGTGAGCGCAATCCAGGCTTCGAATTTTCCGAGCCACTTTTGCTAAATTTGCTTACAACATCCAATGGAAGAAGCCCACGATGGACACATTGATGTAGATATTTCTATCAAAAAAGTTTATGAAATAAAATAAAGCATATTTTAAGAGGGCAAAATAAAAAAAACCAACCTGATCCAAAGAATTAACTTTTGCGCCTAAGTGAATTAGCTTTCTAACTGTATCGCGCATGTTGCTCTGCAACGCGAGCATCAAGGGGGTTTCGTTATCCTAAAAATGTCTGACAAAAATAGAATTTACATAAGTGAAATCATCTATTGGCGCTCCGTGAGAGTAAAGCATATCAATTGTGGCTACATGACCGTTCTTAGCGGCAAAATGAACACTCTGCCAACCAAGCTAATAAAGAATAATGGAGTAAAAACTAGCATTACGTCAGTTTTCGCTTTGACATCAGCCTTGTTTGCTAAGAACCATCTAACAACGTCCTTATTCCCAACGTGTGCACAAAGGACAAGGCCAGTGACATTCTTGTGCTAGAAAAGAAATTTGAAATTATACGGATAACTACCTCCACATCGTTAATTTGCCACGAAGTAGTAACGTTGATATCATTCACATCCTTTCGGAGTCTGTGGATCGCAGACAACTGACCTTTCTCTATTGCAGAGAACCAATTGCGCACGGCATTATCGCGCATTATAAAATAGATTAAAGGGGAAGCGGGCCACAAAATTTCAGCCCATTGACTACGTTGGGGAGAGGATGAGTGCTCATAAACACGAGGTCAAAGAAAGACAGAGGAGATAAATTTAAAGATGACTATATCTATTGTCTTATATTAAATTTATGAACTGAATTTGAATAAGAACAACAATATGTTTTAATTAAGGCATATTTATTCAAAAAAATTTTATTTTTAATATTATAAAGTTTTATTTTGTATATTTTGTTGGTAATATTAACCCCGCTAATTACGACTGTGCAGGCACGCCTTCCTGTTCCCCATCCTGCCAGTGCTTTAGTAGCTTGGCTTTCTTTTCTATAATATTCCTGCCTATGCGTAAAGTGCTTTTAAATTTTTAAAAGCAACCGAGATATATTTATCAAGCATATTGATTTGTGTATCCTTGTAACAAAAATGCAGATTAAATTAGATCAAGTGCTCGAGGATTCCAACGTACTTGTAAGGGCGCTATTAAATTGTTCGCTGATAGCTAAAACTTTATATCTTTTACTTAGTCCCCTTCGTGGCAGAAATATGTTTGGCGATGCCGAAAAATTCTCCTTACATATGCTTATCTAAACCGACATTATTATGTATACAAATTTAGATTCTACATTAAGAATTTGGGGTTTGATGTAGTCATACGCTTTACAGGCGTAGTTCACTTAGTTGGTCTAGAACTAGT